AGCCTGCAGGAGGAAATGACTAATTGTTTGTCTAATCCGCATACAATTCAGGACCTTCAATGCGACACCAGATTTGTACTTTGTAGACGTTTCTGCGGGACCAAAACACAACCTAAAGTGGTCACTAAAGCTGCATATACACCAGTAAAATTTGGTCTACATTTCTAATTGTAAGAATGTTTATTAGTTTTTCTAATCATTAATTGGGTGAATTTGACCTTTATCAACCACAGTGCCGAGAAATTTCAAAGGAGTTGGATGGAAATTTTTTCTCAAAATGTACAAACTTCTAACTGTATATGTGGTTTTTGTTCAGTAAAATCCATTCATTCCAAAATTAAAAGCATAAAAAAATATTGAACTCCTTTTGAACGACATTTGAATTTTCTGAGAATTTTTGTTCGACACTCTACTAGTATATGCCCAGCTGTATGTCTACAATCTGTTACAAATAGCAGGACCTCAACCAATCAGTGACTCTTATAAAAATGGGCTGTAAATAATTCTACAAAAATAGAACAGAAACAAGCCACCTGAAATGACACGAATAACTGGTGTCATTATCACATCTCCGACTCACTTGTATAAGTGTGGATCCATAAACCCAGAAAATGCATACTAAACCAATATTGAAGTGTCCACTTATTGCTGTAGAGGGAGGTTTGGTGAGGCCTGGATGCGATTTAGCTCCTATATTCTCATACATACATTGTGTATTTTTTTTGTGTTCCAGCCTTCACACACCAGGAGGTTCCTGACGTATATTGGGAATATATCTGCTGTATACATGGCTCACTCTAATATAAGCTGGAAATTCATGGAAATCTAGGAGAATTACCTCACCATTACCCTATATTGCCATATATGGTGCTCTACTTGCTAAAATGACCCTACAATGAAGACGCCTAGTGCTTTTTAACATGATTTTATTTGTTTGACATGTTCACCATGCTCATGTTTAACCTCCTTATGATCTATGTGATCAAATAAAGTATTGTCTGAATTCATATTACTCCACGTGGATCATTTAGTAACCTTCTGTTTTCAGGTAGGGGTGCTCTTGTCACACTACCATATTGGTTTTGTAAATAATTCTAACCTGCCCCACGGGGACTAAAGAGAGTTGGAACAAACTTTGTCATATTTCTCATGACTGGCATATGCCTTTAAGAGTTTCTGTATTTTGTTTCTGCTCCTCCTTTTCCTTTGGTTTAGTTAATGCTGTATAGAAAGCCCTTCCCCTTTCCCAGAGATGCATGGCAGCTCTAGCCTCATTTCATGAAGCAGATCACATTATGATCTTTTGACCTGTCAAATGTTCATTGTTGTAAGATTCTCTCAGTTTATGGAATAAACTTCACAAGATGTCTTATCGATTGAATCACTGACTGTGGTATCCAGCTGAGGTTGACGTTATCGTTATCTCATCACAACTGTAAGTTACAGAAATCACGCTATCAATGCTTAGATTGGAGAGACAGAACAAACTTGGTTCTCTAAAGTCAATAGTAAGAACCTATTTAAAATGTATACACAACCTTTACTATACTCCAGATTGTTTGCATAAAATGGACATTCTTCTGTATTCCAATTGTCTATGATGTTGGCATCAAAAATTCATTTTCTAGATTTGTTTGAGGATTCAGAGCTATTGGCCATCACCCCGTACCTTTTTGAAGGATCAACTCAAATGCAATGCTCCTAAAAGTTCAGAAGTATTTCTACTGAACATCTTGGAGGATTACGTTCCTTTCATTTGAAATTCTACAAGAATGCAATACCTCATTCCTTCTTGAAGGAAGAATTCAAAATGTATTTCTCTTAAAACTTCTGCAGTATTTCTACTGAACATCATGGAGGACTATGTCCCTTTCGTTTAAAATTCTACTAGTGTATACCCAGCCTAATGTCTATAATCAGTTACAAGTAGCAAGACCTCAGCCAATCAGCGATTCTTATAAAAATGGGCTGTATATATATCCCTAACCTGCCCCAGGAGGGCTTGATAAAGGTGGAATGAACTTGGTTCTCCAAAGTCATTAGTGAAAGCCAGTTAAATTTATACACAAACTCTGCAATAGTCCATATGGTTTGCATAAAATGTGTCTTCTTCCTTATTCCAATCGCCCATGATGTTGCCACAAAAATGCTAATATATTTAATTTTGGAGGTTTGTTTGAGGATTCAGAGCTAATGGTCATCAGCTTATGCCTTCTTGAAGGAACAGTTCAAATTTAATGCTCCTAAAACTTCTGAGGTATTTCTACTGAACATCCTGGAGGACTATGTTCCTCTAAACAAGCCATTCTCAACCAAAGTTCTGTGGAACCTAAAAAAGGTTCTTCCAGAGGGTACTAGGAGTTCCTTGAGCTGTGGTTGACTGACCTCCCATCTGCTGGAGCCTGGAGAGTTCCAGGTTCAACACCACTTGGCAGAGTCAGCAGCATGACACCAATGATCATTTTAGTGGTGTATAAAGGGTGGCACTTTGACTAAAACTGAATGAGGGAATATTTTTCCCACGAATCACCAAAATAAAAGACATTATTCCCACTGACCCCCAGGTAGTTATTGTAGCAGGGGTTCCTTGAGACCTGAATATTATTTAAAGGGCTCCTCTCGGGTAAAAAAAAGTTGACAAAGGCTGCTCTGAAGCATCCTACAACTAGGTTTTGTCCAATATTGTTCTATGCGCGTAATTCTAATTTACTAGAGAGACTTAGACCCACCACATGACAATATGGCAATTAAATGTGTTAACCTAGCCAAACCTAACCAAGTTTCAGAGGGGGGAGGATGCCAAAACAAATTCCTTAAAAACTGGGACCTTTGGTTGAAGAAGACGACCATAAATTCTTTAACAACCTAGGGACACTGTAATGAAACCAATGTTGTGTTCCAGCTTGGAATGGCTCTGTACCTACAAGAGATGTCTTACTTGGGTAGGGTGGGATGAGAACAAGTGTGAACTAGAGAGTATATAGCTAGCCATACTTGGCTAGATTTCTCTCATTCATTTCATTATCAATTATTTATTTATTTTAGGTACTTATATAGCGCCATCAATTTACACAGCGCTTTACATATATATATTATACATTCACATCAGTCCCTAACCCTCAAGGGGTGTACAATCTAATCAATAGATTCCTCCATCCATGTTTTGTGTATTTCTTCTCGATCTGTGCAGTGATCCAGTGTAAAACATTACTAGTGTGCTGGGACTTCCTGTAATAAAGACCGGTCACTGCTTCTCTCTCTCCTTGCACAGGGTGACTGGTCTTGTCTCCACCCCCTACTGTAGTTTTCTGCAGGCAACCTGTAGTGGGTGGAGGTGTTTCGCTCCTCCCACAACTCTTTTTTCTGCACAGGCTATATACACCACAATGATGAGGTCACCACTACTTTTCCATTATTTGGGTTTGAAAATACATTTGGGGCACACAAGCTGGATTTATATCCTTTGTGGCTACAAGGGAATATATTTACATTAAAATATCTGTGCCTGGAGTTCAGCTTTAATGACAGGTTTGCTTTCAACCTATGTTGGCAAACATGTTGGGATTGCCATGGGCCTCTAGGACAGTATCTAGAATATCTAGTTTAGCTTCACCACTTCAATGTCCCCAGAAGCTATCTCTGCCAAGAAGTTTGGTTGCTATGTACACATTGAAATGGAACTAAATTATTATGGAAGCTTACACTTTCAGTTGGGGATGGGGTGGGCGGAGTGGTAGGCAATAAACAGACGGTTGAGTTGCAATGGCAGCCATACAGTAGCATACTGGGGCCGTGATGCTTTGCATTGTGGCACAGCACAAATGTTCATCTCTGTTCCATTTGGCAGGCAGAACCACCTACCAAACTTGACCCATTCAAGTGAAAAAGTTTCCCTGCAACCGTGTACAATGCATGCGGTTGCAACCTGGCTGTGAACATTTTTTTTTGTTTTTTTTTTTAGGGGTTAACACAGGCAGTAACGCCTCCTCACCTTCTGTCAAATGCCCTCTGAAAAGGGATCCACCACAGATTGCTCATCAAAGAACTACCGCATGTGTAAACAAGCCCTGGAAGTCATGGGAAACTGGAAGCCTTCTAAAGACGATCTTCTTCAAGAAACAAAATTTGTTTGACATTGAAGCAACAAACAATTGCCAAAAGCAAATAAAGCATATGCGACGTCTTCTTAACAAAGCCGTGCAGAGGAGGGGCTGCTTCTGACGAGTTTTAAGTAAATATTCTTTTCATAAACACGTTATTCACTCTGTTCAAACTTGCTCCTATGATGACGGCAATGCAGCACATTTCTCTTCATTCCTGATCATCGAAAAATACAAAGGGGTTCATGTTAAAAGATCTAAACCCCAACTGAAAAAAATGTTATTTGCTTAAGCACTGTGCATCATAAATGGCTATGTTTTTTTCTATAAAATACTGTTTTCACCTTTTTCTACGAGTGATGCTGATCTCCTTTTCCAGCCACTTCCAGTCTACATGCTTTCTACAGCATTGGCTAAACATCAATGTTTTAGATCAGTGGTCTCCAAACTACAGCCGGGGGCCAGATGAGGCCCTTTTGCCTACCTTTCCCAGCCCTTGGGGCACTATTTCATCCACTGATACCATCAATGGGACATAATTCAACCCACTAACACCAATGAAGAGGCACAATGCCTCTGAATGACACCATGGATGGGACACAATTTCTTGCAATGACACCAACAATGAGGCTCAATGACACCAATGAAGGGGCACAATTTCTCCCAATGACGGGACACAATTTGTTCCAATGACACCAATGATGGGGCACAATTTCTCCCACTGACACAAACGGTGGGGCACAATTCCCCCTAATGATACCAAAGATGGTGTCAGTGTTTTTTCTCCATCAATGTCAGGATCTTTTCTAACCCTACTGGTGGGCCCTCCTAAATTCTGAAGGACAGTAAACTTGCCCTTTGTTTAGAAAGTTTGGAGACCCCTGCTCTAGATCAACTCTCTGCCAGCAGTGAAGCATGACTGCACATGGCGTCAGTGTGTCAAGTGTATTCTTCACTGGGGGCACATGAGACAGGGTGACAACACAGGAGCAGGGGCGGACTGACCATTTGGAAACTCGGGCACTGCCTGAGGGCCCGGGGTCAGTAGGAGGCCCCATGAGATGCCCCTGGTACTTTTTTCATAGGCTTTGAGTTTGGGCAAGGACACAGGGGCCCCATGATCCCCTATTGAGGGCCCGGGGTCAGTAGGGGGCCCCATGAGATGCCCCTGGTACCTTTTTCATAGGCTTTGAGTTTGGGCAAGGACACAGGGGCCCCATGATCCCCTATTGCCCGGGGGCCCCATGAGTTGTCAGTCCGCCCCTGCACAGGAGCAAAAAACAGGGGGACAGCTATCTCCATAATGGCGGGATCACCAGGTATAGTTTTAATGCAAGCTACAGATCTATAAAAAGGTTGAAAACAACTTTTGGATCTACATTACTGTCATGTTTCACATGACTGTCATATTGACTGTCATATGCCTTTAAGCGTTTTCTATATCTTGTCTCTGCTCCTCCCTTACCTGGTTTAGTTATTGCTGTATAGATAGCCCACCCCCTTCCCAGTAATGCATTTCTGCAAGCTTCAGGTTTCATGAAGCAGAGCACATTATGATCTTTTGACCTATCAGCTGTTCATTGTTGTAAGATTCTCTCAGTTTATTGAATAAACTTCACAAGATCTACAAGATATCATCTCGATTGAGTCACTGACTGTGGTATCCAACTGAGATTGGAGTTATCTCATCACAAATGTAAGTTACAGAGATCACACTTTAAATGCTTAGATTGGAGAGACAGAACAAGTACCATATCAAAGCTTAAGCCCAGTGCACACTATTAGAAAATCGGACAAAAATATCTACATACATAGTGAACATTTGATTTTCAGATCGGTAGTACGCTGCTTTCGAGAGCCGGCACGGACTGTTCAGATGAAAACTTCCAAAAGGAACATGTTGGAAAAATGTTCGATAGTTATCTTAATGTCTGATTTTAATTTAATTAGTACAGTGTTCGCGCTATATAAATCAAACAAGCAAGTCTACGCATGATTGGAAAAATAATTTGACTATAGACTAGACCAGCCTCTCTCAACCTTTTCAACACAGAGGAACCCCTGAAATAACTTTCTGGTCCCAGGGAACCCCTGCTAAACATGTCTACGTCTAAAACTCTCGATACATTAGTGTGATAATCAGTGGGAAGAATGCTCCTAACACTGGTGTCATTGGAAAGGATCACGGTCTACAGATAACTAAAAAGATCACTGGTATCAGTAGAAAGTCCTCATGCACACGGGACGTTTTTAGCTTTTGACATTTTTTTTCTACATCCAGTAAACCCCCCATCATGTTATCCTTTGTGCCATACACACGTAGGCTGGAATCAACATTTTTTTGGCTGGAAAAAAAAAAACCCAGGAGGAGTAGTGGGTTTCTAGAGGACTTTCTTAGCTGTAAAAATGCTCCAACGCTGAAAAACGCAGTAAAACGCCACAAACCGGCGTTTTTGGACTCTTTTTGACCCCCCCAATTCTTTTTTGGGTCAAAAAAAAACGCTAAGAAAGGCAAACGCTGAAAAACACAGCAAAGTGCCACAAACTGGCATTTTTGGACTCTTTTTGACCCCTCCAATTTTTTTTTTGTCAAAAACACGCTAATAAAGAAAAAACGCGGTAAAATGCGGGAAACTGCCGATAAACGCAGCAAAACGCTAATGCAAAAACACAAAAAAAAACTCACGTTTTTAATGTGACTTTACGCAGTTAACGTTACCAGTGTTATCAAAGCGTCCCGTGTGCATGAGGACAAAATGTATCCGAGAGTCAGAAATTTCTCATTGCTCAAGGAACCCCTAGCAACCTCTAGAGCAGGGGTGGGCAACTGTGGCCCTCCAGCTGTTGTAAAACTGCAAGTCCCATGAGGCATTGCAAAACTGACAGTTACAAGCATGAGTGCCAAAGGCAGAGGCATGATGGAACCTGTAGTTCACCAACAGCTGGAGGGCCACAGTTGCCCACCCCTGCTCTAGAGCAGTGGTTCTCAACCTGTGGGTCGCGACCCCTTTGGGGGTCGAACGACCCTTTCACAGGGGTCACCTAAGACTATCGGAAAACACATATTTCCAATGTGTAAAGAGCAGCTACTGTGTAGAAAGCAGCTACTGTGTTGAAAGCAGCAGTATTGGAGGTAAAACGACACTCATGAATTATAATTACTGGGTAAATAATTTTATGGTTGGGGGTCACCACAACATGAGGAACTGTATTAAAGGGTCACGGCATTAGGAAGGTTGAGAACCACTGCTCTAGAGGAACCCTGGACTAGACTGTAGCTACGTACGTGGGAAGTTATCCTCTGAATTTTCATACCAGTTTAGGCATTCTCATTTTCAAGATGGGATGAGGACACGGAAAACTACGAACGGTCGTTCGTCCAATTTTCTAATAGTGTGTACTGGGCTTTGTATGAGAATTTAACATGGAGACAAGTGAAGAGCGATGGCAGAAAAAAAAAAAAAAAAAAAAAAAAAAAGAAGGAGGAAGGAAGATAAAGAGAATTTTTTTTAAATCCATTCGGTCTAATATAGATCTACGTTTGTCCCAAGAATGTTTGAATCGACTTACTTTTGACCAATCTACTTTACATGGTACCTCTATAGATAGCTTTTGCTTGCATTAAGTTTTTACAGCTGCTAACAAGGAGCCAATAAAAACACAACAAAAACAGAGCAAGACTAGACAGGAAAAATTCAACCTCTTTCACAAAAATGCTGTCGAGATACATTCTCACAATGTATCGGAATGTAATTAAAAAACTTGTTATAGCGGATTCGTTATTAAAAAGTTCTGGGCTGAATTTTTTTGCAACTGCTTGGTGCAATCGCTCTTTAAGGCCCCGTTCAAACCTTGCATACCTGGAATGAGCATTGACGCTTGTGATTTTTAAAGTGCGATGTACACACAGAAACGAGTGTTGCACAAAGATTATTTTCTTTATTTCAGGTACTTATATAGCGCCATCAATGTACGCAGCGCTTTACATATGTATTGTACATTCACATCAGTCCCTAACCCTCAAGGGGTGTCAAGTTCAGTCCATTCACTTCGATGGGCTGCCTAGGCACATTTGTCACCCAAAAGAAGCTCCTGCTCCTTTATGGGGCGACAAGCTTAGAGTGATTTCTAACCATGCGTTTTGCCGTGCGGTTCTGTCACGCAACTTAAATGACAATGTCAGAATCGTGGATTGCTAAGAATAATGGTAAGCAAACATGCGTCTTGCTCTGCTGCAATTTGGAATCACAGGCAAAAATCACTGCGATTCTGCCCGCGATTTCAAATTGCCTTATGTGAATAGAGCCAAATGGTGGCCATACAAGCTTTGATTTTTTTTTTTTATACAATTTTATCAATTCAAACAATCAAATCTGCAAAGAAACTGAATATTATCATCATTCAGGATTTATATAGCGCCAACAGTTTGCTCAGCGCTTTACAATATAATGAGAGACAATACAGCAACAATACAGTTCAATACAAAAGGATTAGGAGGGCCCTGCTCCTTGGAGCTTACAATCTAAGAGGGAGGGGCTAGTGGTACAAAAGGTAATATCTGTGGGGGATGGACTGGTAGGAAGAGTAGAAGATTCCATTGTTAGCTGAGGGCAGGATAGGCTTCCCTGAAGAGATAGGTTTTCAGAGATTGCCTAAAAGTGGGCAGAGTAGGCGATAGTCTGATAAATTGGGGTAGAGAGTTCCAGAGGATGGGGGAGGCTCTGGAGAAGTCCTGGAGATGAGCATGGAAGGAGGAGCCAAGGAAGCTAGAGAGCAGGAGGTCGTGCGAGGAGCGGAGAGGACAGTTTGGGTGATATTTGGAGACAAAATCGGTGATGTCATTTGGGGCAGAGTTATAAATGGCTTTATATGTTCTTGTTATTGTTTTGAAAATTTATTGAGCATAGCCATACCTCCCCTTCTGATCAATTTTGACTCAGTTTTGATCAACCAGCGCAAAAAATTGATTGTTTTGCATCAATAACCATCAACAAGATACTTTGTGAATGAGATTGTATTTTCATCGGTCAGATTATGAGAATACATGGTGGTAAAAGAGATGGGAATAATGATTTATGATCGTAAATTCTGATTGCATCATAACCATCAAAGTCCACTCTGCCATGTGTGGCATATCGATCAAATGGGTTGTCGACCATCGGTCCAATGCTGCAATTGGAAAAGAAATTGGTCATTTAAAGTATGGTCACCATAAGGCTGGGCAAAAGTGTGACTACACCCAGGACCCTGCATTCACTATATCCGGTCCCCCCGGACCCTGCGTTCACTATATCCGGTCCCCCCGGACCCTGCGTTCACTATATCCGGTCCCCCCGGACCCTGCGTTCACTATATCTGGACTCCCACAGTACACAACATGGAAGTGCAATTATTTTAGTAAATATAAACTGCTAAATACCTTTTCTCATCAGCAGATAGATCAGTCTTGTGACTTTATCAGTGTCCAGCAGAGCACTAGTTAAAGTAGGAGTTTTCTTTCTGCTCTAGGAGGATGCAGAACCCCTGACCCTCTGTCTGGACAGTGCTTATTGACCCTGTGCTGATCACATGCACTCTTCCAAGGAAAAAAAAAAAAAAAGTCTAGCAATGCACTTTAAAATGAGCATGTGCAGAATGACTACAGTTTGGTTCTTCTGTCTTATCAGGAGATAAAATGTGGACAATTGAAAAAGGAGGAGGAGGAGCAGAGAAGTCAGGATCAAACTGCAGAGGATTAACCCCTGAGGTTCCACAGTGAGTATAACAAGCATGCTTTACTACATATACAGACTGATTGTGCTGTTGTGAGTTTAGTAACACTGATCTGATGCAATAAATCACACATTTTAACAAGCACTACGACATGCATTGTAATGAGGCAGCTCATTCATTTTGAATACGCTGCCAACATACCCCATTGCAGGCAAAACCACACATGACCCTTTTTATTTCGGAGTGTAACACATGGTAGTGCA